CATGGGGCCTTTGAAAGGCGCGGCTACGTGTCCTTGGTTAGTCCAAAGCTGCCAACACTGACACCTGCGGTTAACACATCTAAGAGGAGCATGGAACCCTGGCTGTTCTCCTTGCACGTCGTAACCATCCGCAAGGGTCTTTATCGATCATTTTATTGCCGTCATTATCACTTTATAATCTTTACTGGAGTACAAGCGTGGCGGCAAGTGTGTGTGTGTTGGTGTGGTGGTAATGGGCGCGTGTGATGGCATGAGGTGGAGGCTGTGTGGACGACTAGAGGAAGAAGTGGGCGGTGTGGAAACAGAGAGGGGCGGGAGGAGGCGGTGAGGAGTTAAATGAAGTGGAATGAGGAGGAGACGGTGTGTGGGCGGGGTCCTTCGTCAGGAAGTGTGAGCGAATCCCTGGCGCGAAAGGGGTGTGTGTGGTTGTGGGCGTCGGCGAGGTGAGAGAGGGAGCCCCCGCGCCCGCACGCCCCCACAGCAGGCAGGGCGCATCAAAAGGGCCCTTCATCACGCGGGGTCGCGCACCTGAAGTTCCAGGTGCCTTTCCCTGCCTCATCAGCTAAGCCCTAAAGCCCACGCTATCACAACTTACAGTTCCAAGAGTAATGCTTATACCGATTATTTATAAATTCTTACTGAAACACTACACGACTACCACAATACATGCAGGTTGGCAGCAGGGAACTAGGGGGCGGGGCGTGGTGAGAGGCGTGGGTGAGGGCGAGGTGAGGGGGGGAGGGCGCGGCATGCAGGGTCAAGGAGTCAACTGGGCAACACTAATGAGGTCGGGTAGACGGAACACGTCCGGGTCGGGTCGGGTCGGGTCGGGTGGGCGGCGAGGGTCCAACTGGGCATGGGGCACACGGGCACTCGGGCGGGGCACGGCGGCGTCACTTACATCCTGGAGATGCTGCAGTTGTGGTTGTGCCATTACGCTGATATGGCGTTCTTCAAGTGTTCGGGTGGTGGCCCGGGGATGGCCCGGCGGAATGGCCCGGGGTCGAGATCTGCAAGTGGCCCGCATGGCACGGGTGGTGGCCCGCGGCGTCATGACGGCGCCGTGGTGTGGGGGGCCTGGGGAGGGCGCCGTGGAGACGGGACATGGGGCCAGGAGGGGCTTAGGGGGCCGCCATGAAGGGGCCGGGGCGGGGGCCCCAGGTGGTGGTGGGGAACAAAGGGAACGGTACTTACATCGCGCTGAGGCACTGCATAATTACCCTGGATAGTATAGGCCTGGCCGCCGGCAAGGATCACCGGACCCCGGCCACCTGGGGTTTGGGCGGTAAGGGATCGTGGCGCTTTGGGAGGGGACTGAAACGGCACAACACATGGATTAGAGCTTGCACAGATGATCGACTACACCAGTAAGACAAACTATCAAATGCAAATCTACAATTATTGGACACAAAAATATCAACAAGTGAAAATCATGATATCTGGATATTCAGAAACGCGATGTTCACCGCGCGGTCCGCTGGTGGCGCCGTGGCCCGCCTTACCTCTAGCATAACGCAGCAGATGTTGTAGATGCACTGCGTGATGGCCTCGGACGTGCCCGACACGGTGACTGCGCGCTCCGTGGAGTTGGGCAGCATCTCGGACGCGACCTGGATGGAGGCGCCGGTCACCTCGCGGATCTCCTTGATCTTGGAGCCGCCCTTGCCGATGAGCGAACCGCACTGCGAGGCGGGCACGATCAGCCGCAGGGTGATGGGGGGCCTCTGCTGTCCGCCGCCGCCTCCTGCGCTGCCGTTGTTCTGGTACATCTGACCAAGGAATGTGGGGGGAACGACAACGGTTACAAGGGGCACTCAGCCGAGGATTCACAAATAACACTGGAATGATCAATTCTTGATAGATAGCCAGGATAAGAATAACTCTATGATGGTCCTAATGAGGGAAATAACAGCATTAATACTAAACCATCCGAACACAATTGAAATACTAACAAAAATACAAATGCTATTTCTTGTTAAGTGACAATAATAACGTAATTAACAATGATAATGATATTAATGGTTACTACTATTAATAATAATAATAATAATAATAATAATAACAACAACAGCAACATCAATAATAAAACATAATAAGTTCTACGGCGATAATGATGAAACTACCATTTTACTAAATATAATTTTAATATGACATGCCAATAATAACATTAAACAATGATTATAAAAAATCAACAAGAACAATAAAATGAATAATTCTCCACCAATCGCAGAGTTACCGATAATCAAGTATGAAGTTAATTACCAAAAAAAGAAACACATGAGATAGGGATAAAATAGAGCGCGAGTATCATCCGCGAGTTGGCTCATCCACAACCTCGCCCTACGTCTCCCTTGTTGGCTCGGTGGAAAAAGGAAGCAAGCAGGCAAGCAGGTAGACAGGCAGGAGAGTAAACAAACACGTGCCCGAGCGAGAACGCCTCAGCTCCTGCCCTCCAATGGCCGATTTACAGTTACAGGAAAAGCAAGTTCGTTTCCCTACT